GGGTTTAGGGGTTTAGGGTAAATCAAGGTTCAGGCTTTAATGTTGAAGCTAAACGAGATGGAAATATCAGACTCCTTACAAAGGCTTCTATGGACCTGGCAGTATATGGGTTTAAGTTCAAGCTTCTCAAAGCAACCCAGTCGCAGCAACTCCAGTACCCACGTGACGGCTGCAATTTCAGAAATCACCCTTCCCAGAATGATTGGCAGCAACACAACCCTTCCTGTTGATTTCGAACTTGAGTCATAAAGCTTTGAATGGTAAAAGGCGGCAAGCTCGAAGCTGCACCACAATCCTCTGTTGCTGGTTTTTTAAGGTGCCTCTTTTACCCACGTGTTCCAGCCGGTAAAGTCCAAAATGTACAGGCGATTGTCTAGCCATCAGGGTTTAAGGTCTACGGTTTAGGGTTTCTACTTGATTCAACCGTCACCGAAAAGACGTCAAAAAAAGAGAGCTACGCGCTACAACATGCCACGAGCTTCTAGTAAAGTAAGTTCGATCCCACGCAACCAGCAGCGTGTGTGACCTGTTCAAAATACCGCCGATGGCATTGATCCCTGCCGCCTTCCTACAGGGAGCAAAAACACACACACACACACACACACACATATGCTGGGGTGCATGGAGGTTCTCAGCATCATGGGCTCCTTCTAGGAGTCCCGAGAACTTGGTGTGTGTGTGTAAAGGCGAGCCTTTTGGAACATCATGGGGGAAGTTCAAAAAGATATTATGCAACGCAAGCTTCCCATCAGAATTTCGCAGCACTTGCCCTTATCATTATGTGTTATTACTCCGCGCCCAGAACCTTGGCACAAATGGTGCTTGATGTTGCACTGGAGTTTGCCAAATGCTTCTAAGTCTCAATATCAGGCAAGCATACGGATCATGATTCTGGACGGCAATTCAGAACCGTGATGTCTTCTGAGGTTTTGAAGCAAGGGCCGACGTGTTACTCCAAACACAGAACCACTTTCAGACGGTCCAAGTGAGAAACCCAAGAACTGAGTACAACCGTCCTTGTATTGGATGCGCACGAAGTGCCGTGGAGCATTCGAGGCAGCGAAGCCAGAAACAAAATGGAAACTACTATAGTATATTGGCTTTCTATGGGGATGATGGAAAAGACAACGGAAACTACTTTTGGCAGATCTTTAGAATGCCTCACCGCTGCACAGCCCGCTTCTACGGCAGAGCTTTCCAACAGCAATTTCTGTGCGGAGTTTGATCACCTCGGGTCCTCTCTTCATCTTTTTGATCGATGCACACCTTGTCCAAGAAAATTGAAACCCTGTATGACTTGAAGAATGCACGGGCGTGATGCCAGGAGAACCTGAGTAGCAGCCGGGGCAATGTTCACTGCTGATAGGACTGCGTATGTAGGCTTGGACGGATGGATGGAGGGACATGCTTGGATATCAACCTGAAAATCGGGCTCATAACAGCTTCTGCCACGCAGCAGCACGACAAAGAAAAGCAGTGAGCTGGGAAAGAAGCCCCGCCAGGCCAGTACTCCGACACACCCTTGGTGATATTGCAGCCCGCACCACAACATCCCGGTGGCAACGGCCTCAGGCGCTTCGCTTTGTCCCCAGGAATGCTAAGGGGCATCCACACGACGTCTGCTGCGCCTGCTACTACTTACCATTTTGTCCTTAGCAGCTGCATTTCATACTGAAGTAGCCAGGAGGCAGAAAGGGTTGCCGGCAGAGCATTGAAGTAGTACAACAGAGTCAGGTACTTCATCCACCAGCAGGCATGCCAGCCTAGCGTATGGCAGCTGCAAAGCTCGCTGGGCCAAAGCATGCACCATCCCGCGCATGGCTACATTCAGACTTGCATGGGTTTCCAAGCGACTGTGTGATAGAAAAATGTCCAACTCACCAACAACGTAGCTCTTGTGCAAGTCATTCTCACCTTGGTTGAGCGGAGTCCGAATTGAGCCACTCAAGTTCAGGCACTTTGCCGACATGAAGCAGGTGAGGCCAAGCTGCCATCACTGACTGTGCCGAAACCGCCCGTCGTTGACTTCATGATCCATCCAAAGTTATTCAAAAGCACGGCAGATGTTGTGCCGCGTAGTAGAGTCAAATCACGCAAGTGAGCAGTGCATCTCCGCATGTTGGAGATCCTGGCAGAACCGTCAGAAAATCCCCGGCAGGCCAAGATGTTTTGCTCTGTGACAGCTCACCTCTTACTCTTCTTCTTCTTCTTTTGAAGGCTCTCTCTGTCTCGCTCGCGCTCCCTCTCTGGTCTCAGCAGACCCACTTGTGCCTCTGCTCAACGAAGTCCTCCACTGAACCGCCATTTTCCATGGAGGCAATCTTCCCAAAGTACAACTCATGCTGAGAGCAGCGAAGACGGCTGCATCTGCCAGCCAGGAAAGCAGCCAGCCATGGCAACTGGTGAAGCGCTTTTGCTGGCTGTAAGTTGCGGAACAAACGTTACAGAGTATGTGTGTGCGCATGCGTTCACATGCTGATCGATTAATCCAGTTCATGCTGTCTCTTGCGTCTGGCAGCAAAAACTCGAGCTGGCACTTTGTCAGGGCAAGGCAACGAAAGGGCCCGGGTAAAAAAATGACCACGGCACAGAAAGAAGCGGGTCTACGATAGTAATAATAGAAACAATAGCCATAGTCGCCATTATACTAATCGTAGCAATAATTGTACTCCTAATCAAAATACTAGTAACAATAGTGGCAAAAAGAGCAATAATAATAACAATACTTGCAAAAATAAGTCAGTATAGTGCTGTGTGCTCCTGCGATTGACGTGGCTGGCGCAGTAACCGCCGTCTTGGCAGCCTTGGCACCTGCGGTCAGAGACTTTAGGGATTTAGGGTTTAGGGGTTTGGGGCTTAGGGGTTTAGGGGCTTAGGGCTTTGGGGTTTTAGGGGTTTGGGGGTTTAGGGGTTTGGGGTTTGGAGGTTGAGGGTTTAGAGCTGTGTGAATGCCGTGAGTGAAGCATTCTGCGATGCACCCTCATCCTGTTGTCCCTCGAACCTGCAATTTTTCTTTGATGATTCCTTAGGGTTAGTGGTTGCCCGCGTACGGGAGCAAGCAGGGTTTCAAGAGGCATTCTGTCTAAGTCATACTGTGACGTTGAAAAAAATCACAGCCGGCGACAGCGGCAGCAGCAGCAGCAGCAAGACCCGCAGAGCATCGCCAGACCAGTAGCAACCATAGCATCCAAAAAAGACCGACAGGCATCTGTCAGGCATACTTTGCTTGAGAAGGGAGACCACGGAAAAATGGGCTGCAGTGCTAGAGGCCATGAAGCCGGCAAAAAGCATCATCAAGGTTGCAACGAGGACAGAAGAGTCAACGGCAAAAACCCTGCTCCAGAGAGAAGGATGCACAACCCCACTAGTCACCATAAACCGCCCCACCACCCATAATGGCAAATATTCCCTTTCTTATACTCCTGATGTGATCCCCTCTGCTGATCTGATGCCTGTCCAGCCCATGAAGATCCGTGAGGCAGGTTTTTCTTTTGAAACCCCATCGCACCTTTTCTGTGCTAGCATCAGCTTGGGGAAAATGTAAATTAGCCGATTTGGCAGGTTTAGGCTTTTTTGGGTTTAGGGTTTAAGGTTTAGGTTGTAAAAATCAGAAACGTTGTCCTTTTCAGGTCCCCTATATACAGTATGAGGGGCTGTACTATACCAGGGAATCAAGAAGGGACCATCGTTTGGAACACGTATCCATATGAGTGAGTGATGCGTGCAACTGCAACCGAAACTGCCCTGCTTGGCATCATGACCGCTGCTGTATGCAATACAAGTGGACATTTCTGGAAGTCATCATGGTGGCGGAAAGTTGCTCTGCTGGCCATCACACATCTGGAACATACGAAAAATGATGACATGCTAGGTACAACATTGAAAACAGTACAGAAACAGCAGGGTCTAAACCCATGGATGAATGCCACAAATTGAAACCCATAGAAATCGAAGACTATAAAGACACTACTACAAATATTGTTACTATCTATTACTATCAGTACGCTATTACTATTATTTCTATGAAGTCCAAAGAGATCCTGATGTTGACGCTCCGGTGGTATAGTAATAATAGCAATAATAGTAGTGGATTGTCCCAAGGCCTTCCACCGCCTGCTTTGTCGCATTCTTGGCCGCTTGCACGGCCTTAGGGCATGCAGATGAAATCAGGAACTCAAATTCCAACTCTGATGATCACTAGACCATACTAGACCAGAAGAATAGTATTCATGGTCGTTATGGTGAAAACCCACGGATAGCAGATAACTTAGCCTGGAACATCATTGGCCTCCTTGGAGTACTGCTGTACCTTAGCACACAGCTTGAGGGCACAGGAAGCTTCCCTGCGACTCCAACAGCCCTTCCCGGCCCCAACATCTCCGCGTGATGGAAACTTTGCTGGAATTTCGAAGCTCTTGTCTAAACTCTTAGTATCCCCCTTAAGAAGCCCGTGGTACTCCCCTATATAACCCCCTTCAAGGAGTTTAGACTCTAGTACACATCATGATTGTGTCTGTTGGTGCTCCCAGATGTCCTATCTGTGGCTATCTTTAGAAAACAGGCGCCTCTTGCACTTTGGCATTGAAATTCTTCAAGGCCTCGAACTTCACAATCGTGTCCTGCCACGGAGAGATGGCCTCATGGGCATGTACATGTTGGAACCATTAGTACGATAACCACTACTGCTGCTGCTGCTGCTGCTGCTGCTGCTACTACTACTACTACTACTACGACGACGGCTACTACTACTATTGTTGTAATTATTGCTAGCACTACTATTATTACGAGCGCAACTATTCTTACTATTGTTACTATGACCTGTTGGATGCTCGAAGCTACGGCTGATATAGCTCTTTTATATGAAGTACAGCTGTACTTTGACGTCAAGTATGCTCTACGCACACTTTGAGCAGCACCACCCTGCGACCACCTGCCTAAACCCCAGACACATGGTTGATGGAGGAAATCTTGCAAGACCTATCTACACCCCATGACCTACTGTGAGCAGTGTGACTTATAGGACTTAGGGTGGTGCAAGATTTCCTGTATTGACAATATTTTTGCTGTGCATTATCATCCTCCGCACCAGCGCCGCTGCGCGCAGCTGCCAGTGCCTCGCTGTCCATGCCACACTGCTCCCTCGCTGGTCTCTTCGTGTTGCTATTCCGCGCGGCGCGTGGTGGTTTACACACATTTAGTGACACATTTGTTGCTGTAATAATCTCGTATTGCTCTCCTCACTACACTAACTCATGTTTCCCTCTAGCCGTCTGTTCAGGATGCTTGCAAGCGCGGTCTTGGCTCATGCGCAGCATCTCCGTGCAGAATCTGGCAGGTCCCCGCATGTCTGTATGTTGGGGCGGTGTCCGGTGGGCTGTTAGGGCCATCGAGCAGGGTTGTTCTTCTGGCGATGATGACTAAGTGACAGCAGAACAACATTTCTGCAGTTCCTTTTTGGGTGAAATCATAAAAGTCGTTTTCCGCCTTTCGGTGGCTGAGCTGCATTGACTACAAATCCAAACTGGGAGTGGGGATGCTGGCGACTGGAAGTACATAACTTCACCCACGTCTTACGGCTACATCGTAAGGAGGAAGCAGCTTTGCAATGAAGCTACTGCCCCTAAACCCTGAACCCTACACCTTCTTCGATCCAAGGTTCTCCGGTGATTGTCGCCAGCCCAGAGATGAAGGCAGGCGCAATAGATTCCGCAGTTATGAACAAAGAACCTTGGTAGTGTTGCCCTACCACCCCGTACTACCGCCCACCTGAATAATACCCAACCATCCCTCAATAACCTTAAGTAAGCGCGGAACACAGGGTGTAGTAGGGACCCAAGAAACCCTGGTCTTGGTGGGAGAACATCGTTCTGACACCTACATATCCCACAATCAATTCTGAAAACCTGCGGACCACTTTGAGGTCACCCTTTCTATTGCCGAACCCATCTTCAAGAACTAGTAATGCTGAAATATTCCCATGCATCCCAACCCAAAAGCAGCCTGCAGGGCGAACTACGCAGGTTTGAATGATCTACAATCATACACAACATAAATGGGTGGTTGTCAAAATTATGGTCCCTTTTTTGATCCCTATTATAATACGGCACCTAATATTTCGGGTAACCAAACAGGGACCATAATTTTGACAACCACCCCAAATGGTACTTGGCAGTTGGTGGCATGACCATACGGAAAGGGTAGGTTATGACATCTTCACATGCGCGGCAGAAAAGGCCATCTTGCAGTGATCTCTACCGCCTTAGATGGGTTTCCACGCATCAGAACACTGAACTGGGTTGCTGTCAAGGAGCTTAAACTAAGTTACTATAGTTGTGAAACCCCATTACTTACTATGTACCCAAATTACAGTACGTTAGACCCTAAGCTCTCAACCCTTGATTTGCAGCATCGCCATGGGCAGATGGATCTACAAGCTGGTCATGGTCATTGTCATGACCCTCATAAGCATAGCCATCAGTGACGTATCGTTTTCCAGCAAAACGACTAAAACACAGCAGTCACGTCCATTCGGGACATTGTCCTTAAAACAACAATTGGCTGGTGGCATTATGCGTGAGGGGCCGATGGAATCTGACGGATTTTTAGCTCACACTTCTGACAAGCAGCTGCCCAGCAGCACAAACGCCACTGCACAGGCAAAAGTGCCTCGGCTGCAATGCATGGATTGCACTCGTTTAGGGGTAGCAATGCGGGACCTGATGTTTTGAAAAGGTACATCCTGTCAGTTTCCAGCAACCCCGCAACGGTTCCCATCAGGCCACTTGTGTGTGAGGACTGCAGCGCTAAAAAAGCTGTGAAGTCAAGATTCCAGCGATTGCCAGCGAGAATAACAGAACTTGTGCGTCATTCAATCCTCGGAAAGCAAGAAGGTGACCAACATGAGCCCCAATCGGTGACGCGGAGCGTTCCAAAATCAGCCGCACTTGCAGTGTTAGCTGTACTTGCTGGAGAAGAAGTTGTTGTTGCTGTTGTTAGTAACAGTCATCGTCGTAGTAGTAGTCGTCGTTTTCTTCGTAGTAATCGTAGTAGCAGCAGCAGTAGTAGCAGTAGCAACAGCAGCAGCAAAAATACCAGAAGGAGGAGTATAGCACCACGTC